CTCCACACTGGTTTCCACAGTGGCTGCACCAATTCTCTCTAGTGAATGAATGAACAGTGAGGAAGGGTTGCTCCCCCCGCCCCATCCATCTGTTGTCTGTTGTCTTGTGGTCCGAGCCATGCTGGTTGGGGTGGAGGGAAATCTTAATGTTGCTTTAATTTGCTCTTCTCTGATGGGTAAGGGTGACGTTGTATTTCTTAGCCATTTCTCTTTCTTCTCTGGATAACTGCCAGTTCATTTTTAAAAAATTGAGTTATTTGTTTCCTTTACTCTTTGTTTTTTGAGGTTTTTTTTTTATTCAAGATATTAATCCCCTGTCAGTTATGTAGCTGGCAAGGATTATCTCCCATTCTGTAGGTTTCTTCTTCATCCAACTGATTGTTTTCCTAGCTGTACAGAAGCTTTTTAGTTATACTAGGTCTCAATTGTTCATTGTTGGCCTTAATTCCTTGGTCAGTAGAGTCCTGTTCACAAAGCCCCTTCTTACACCTATATCTTGTAGGGCACTGCCTACAAGATGATTTTTCTCTAGCACATTTGGTGTTTCAGGTTTCAAATCGAAGTCTTTGATCTAACTGAATCTAATTTTTGTGGAGGATGATAGATATGGATCTAACTTCACGCTTCTGCGGGTAGATATCCAGTTTCCCTAGCTCTGTTTGTTGAAGATCCTGTCTTCCCTCCAGTGGTTTTTGTCTTCGTCAACTATCAGATGGTTATGAGCACCTATGTGTGGGTCTTCTATTGGTGAAATTACTTTGGCCACTCCACGTAGTTAAAAGGATATTTATTTAATGGCGTAACTCACAAATTAACTGATAGGTAGGTCTCAGGGTCTGGGAAAGGTGTATCGCAGTCCATCGGTGTTCTCTGGAGCTCTGCACAATCCACCTCCACCGTTCAGCGTCCTGGCACAGAGAGCGCACCGAGAGAGCGCTGGCCCATCCAGCTCTCAGGTCGCCAGGCGCTTCCCCTGGCCCCGCCTTGTAGGCGTGACAGTTGCCAGAGTCTCAATGGGGGTAGGAACTTCCAGATCCAAGCTGGAATGGCTACCCACTACAGTCTTCTGTTGTATTCCATTGATCTATATGTCTCTTTTTGTGCTGGTACCATACTGACCTTATTATTAGAGTTCTATAATATTTCTTGAAGTCTGGAAAAACAACCCCTCCAGTATTATTTTTTGCTCAAGGTTGCTTTGGCTATACAGGACCTTTTCTGCTTCCATAAGAACTTTAGGATTTTTTTTCTATTTCTGTAAAGAATGTTGTAGGTATTTTGATTAGGAGTGCATTCAATCTGTAAATGGCGTTTGGTGAGATGGTCATTTTCCTAATATTAATTCCACTGATCCATGAACACATGATGGCTTTCCATTTTCTAGTTTTGAATGGCTGGTCATAGTAGTCGTAGTAACTCCCCAAATACTACAGATTATCAGTGTAGTCTTTGTTTGCCTCTCAGGGAATTGCAAAGACCCACAGATTTAGGACACATGAATTGGGTGCTCCAGCTGGATGTGACCCCAAGGCCCCTTTCCTGTGGTCTAGCTTTTATGGTTTCAGAAAATACTATGCAAGGTGCCAAGAGAGGGAAACAATTAAACAGGTCTACCACGTGCAACACCTGGGAGCCATAACAATCACCAGCATGGAAAGATAGCTATGCAGGTGCCAAGGCTTGGCACCCAGAAGTCAGTGGCAAGCGACAGCTGTCTAAAGGGCCCGTTCAGCAGGAGGAAAACCATGCCTGGTACTAGAGACCTAGCCAGCTTCTGGGTCTACTGAGCATGGACTTTAGAGAAGAATCCACTACCACCACTTTGCTAGACCAGCACAATTCCCTACCACATTCTAAATCTTATCCTTATATCCACAGATAAAAGTAGCCACCACCTCCCATCAAAGAATCCCCTCTTCACAGTAAATGGAGAACATCACAAAAAAAAAAACCACACACTCATACAACTCTGGATATAATGCAGAGATCAATGGATTGGTGGGGAGCCCAGTCCTCCATGGATACACCTATTTTACAGAAACTGAATCTATACTGAGGGAACATTCTGGAAGAGAGGGTGGAAGAATTGTTAAGATCCAGAATGCCAGGTAGTCTGGTTTTAATCAGTCTCTCCTAGACATGACCACATAAACCAGACTGGGACAACTGCAGCAGCAACTGACATGCTAATATGGAGGGGAGCAATTTTCATGGCATTTCAGCCCTAGGAAAAGAACCACAAGAAACGAATGACTGTTGGGAAAGGGAAAGTTAGCTTCTCTCAAGAGTAAGATCCAGACTGGTTTCCCAGTGTAGAGCGGTCAGCCATGAAATCATATACACATATACACCAGAAATGGACCTAGCAAGTGTTACAAATATAAACTATATACATACAAAAATAGATACACACACACACACACACACACACACACACATATTAGTGCATCACATACAAAAGACAAAAAGACTCTAACTTAAGAATGGGGGGGCCTGGGAGAAGTTGGAGGGAGAGGTTGGAGGAAAGAAAGAGATGCGTGTGATAAAATTACACTTCAATTAAAAACATTAAAATTAATAAAAATTATAGAAGTGTGAAAGCATGTCACCACTTCTGTGAATTATTAAAATATCACTTGTACTGCTATTGACAATGCTGTGCAAAGCTAATCTTTCAATGAGAGCATGTGATATGATGAACATTTCACAAAAATAAAATCCTTCACTAGAGTAAGTGACTGGGATGGTAAGGTGTAGACAAGGAGAGAGAAGTTGAGAAAGAATTAGGAAACTTCTAGATCCAGTGGCCGAGCCTACGGTGGCACTTGTCTGGACCAACGGTTCCTATTTCAGCACAGAGGCTGGAAGGAGTCGGGTGGGAACAGGAGTTGTACAGACTACTCAGAAGCAGAACCCATTACAGTGGGCCCATAACTGAGCCAACAGATGAAATCCTAGGCAGAGAAATGAACCTCTTCTCTTCCCTAATACAAATCGCCTTTCTTTTTCGAGACAGAGTCTCACCATGTAGCCCTGTCTGTCTGGAATTTACTATGTTCAAGAGGCTGCTCTCAAACTCACAGAGATGTATGTGCTTACTACCTCCGCCTCCCTCCTGAGTGCTGGGATTAAAAGCCTGCGCCACTATGAATTCTTAAAGAAAAAATTCCTGTGAGTCCTGCCATAATATGGTTAGTGTTATCCAACTGTTAAAGTTCACTGATTTCATGGGACTGAGGGGACAGCTCCATTGGTAAAATGCTTGTTACACAAGCATGATGACCCAGGTTCGGTCCCCACACCCACTTAAAAACAGGGATGATAAAAGGGTACTTGTAATCCCAGAGATAGGGAGACAGAGATGGAGAATATCTGTGGCTCACTGGCCAGCCAGCCTAGCCTAACTGGCGAGATCCAGGTCCCAGTGAGAGATACCGACTCAAAACTCAAGATGGAAGATTTCTGAGGAAGGATATCCTAGATAGATTCCACATGTACACACACATACATCTGCATACACAAACTACATATACACACCTGTGTCCACACAAACATACAAACAACTGTGTAAATACAAACACACATACAATTGCATATATACACAACCGTACACACATACAACTGTGTACACATACAACCCGTACATAGCACTGTATACACACACAATTGTATACACATACAACTGTATATATCACTGTATACACACACAATTGTATACACATACAACTGTACACACACACAACTTCATACACACAACTATACATACACAACTGCACTTAAACACAACTGTGTACACATAACTATACATACACAACTCTGTACATACACAACTATACAAATACAACTATACACATACACAAACACACACATTAACCTCTACTATGAGCAGATAGTCAGATGGCATATAGTCCTTACTGGGCTTTTGTGGGGTCACTGCCTCTATGACCCCAAAGAGAAGGAAATCCTGAGATGATTGTCAGAGCATTTGATAACCCTTTCCACCACGTACGATATCTAATGGAATGTAAATACTATGCAATTAGAGCTAGATTCCATTGTTGAGGGATGGTTGAGCAGAAAATGTTTGATCTCATTTACCATAGATATAATTTCTATTTGAATACTTGAGATCCAAGGCTCACTGAATCTATGACTGTGGAATCCGTGAAAGCGCCCACTGGCCTTTGAAAACTCAGGAGAGAAATGAAGCATCCATACTGTCCTCTTACCTGAGGCTGTCTAAAGCACTAGGTAAGTGTATCCGTGGGCTCTCCTCCTCTCAGCACACAATTCAATACAAGGCTTCGTGTCCACTGTGAAAGAGCTCTGTGGGATCCCCATAAGCATTTTCCTTCCTCCCAGACAGTCACCACTCAGAAACAACTCTTGACTTGTAAGGGATCCTTCTGATTTCCATAAAATCAGCCTTATTCTCTGTAACTTGCAGAATAACTTGGGCACAACTAACTCTTTGTAATCCAAGAGCCTAGAGGCTGCACACAGTCCACAGTAACTTTTCATGTTATAAAGAGGTTCCTGGTTACTGGCCAGCCACCATGCCTCACGTACCCATCCATAAAAACAGCTTTCAAGCTCTAGGAGAGAATCTCATTCCACAGCACTGCCCTTTGGTGATGAGGACATTAGATACAAACATAAAACAGAGGGGCTGGAAGAAGTGTCTGACCCATTAGCAGACATCATTGAAGTAGCCTCCATGAGCCTTAGGGACCATTCCAGTATCAATTATGTGATACCCAAAGCAAAATGTAAATTAAGAACAGGAAAAGGAGTTAGAGACAGGTTGAAAGAGAGACGGTCTTGAGGTCATGGGCCCTATAGTTCAGTGGTAACTTATGATTCATCGTAAGGAGTATTTTTATCCTCACATGGGATGCAGGCAGAGCTGTAGGAAGAGTGTGATTCAACTGTGGGATCCAATACTGACACCAACACCAAGGGAGACCATGACCATCAGTTGAATGTCTCCTGGTACTCACCGGCACACTTGGTTCTTGTTCTCAGAGCTGGCCCAGGAGATCCAGTGCCTCCTTCCCCTGGTCTGGTGAGAAGCACACTGATCTCATATTCCGTGTCTGGGTCAAGGTGCCCAATTTTGTAACTCGTGGAATCCACTGGCTGCCGATCATTCCAGCTCCCACTGGCTGTGCAGTACTCGACCTCACGGGCCACAATGGGCCCATCCCCATTGATGGAGTTGGCGTTGAGCTGTATCCACAGATAGGTTGCTCCAACAGAGGCAAGCTGCGGCGGAGCAATGGGAACAGGTGGTTCTGCAGACAAACCAGAGAGTTACCTTTCAGGTGTTTTTGTATTCAGCTGATGAAGAGCTAAACACGCATCCATGGTGACAGAGTAGAAGATATTAAAAATTAAGTATTGAACTGATGAGAGGGACTTTGTGCTGTTTAATTAGTGTTTGTACAATGGTAATGACTTAAACGAGGTTCAAACCTTACCTTTCAAAAAGGAATGAGGGGGCTAGAGAGATGGCTCAGTGGTTAAGAGCACTTGTTAATCTTACAGAGGATGTGGATTTGTATACACATGTATACAAGTATACACATGGAGGCTCACAACCATCTATAATACCAGATCCAGGAGATCTGGGGATCTAATGCCTTCTGATCTTCTGTGGTGCCCATATACACATGCAAGAAAACCACTGACACACATATAATAAATAAATCTAAAAAAATAAAAAGAACAAAGCTAACTTGAGCTCAGCACCTGTATTCTCAGCTACTTGGGAAAGAGACTGGAGGCTCACTTGAACTTGAAAGTTCAAAACCAACCAAGGCAAAACAAGACCCTGTCTTGGGGGAGAAAGAACAAGAACAAGGTATGGTTGTGGGTCAGTCGGGAGAAAGCCTACCTAACATGCAAGAGGCTCGAGGTTTGACCCCAGCACTTCGAAGTGGCTGTAGTGGAGCATCCCTGTAATTTCAACACTCTGGAGCCAGAGGTAAGAGCATCAGAAGTACAACGTAATCTTCAAAGACTATACAGTGAGTGTGAGGCTAGCCTGGACTACATGAGTTACTATCTAAAAACAACAAAGCAACCCACCTAACTTGTTCAAGTGAGTATGCCCATAATCGGTCTTAAGACACAATACATAAGCACATTTACAACAAACATTTTTTTTTCTTTTCAACTAAAATCACAACTGAAGCTCTCTTGAGAAGCAGTATTTAACAGCAGGATATATCCCATTGTCAGCCTTCTTGTTGAGATTCCTTGCAACATCATCAAAGGCATTGGGGGTTTCTACATCATTAAATTGAGTTGGCATATTGCCTGTTACCCCAGCATGTGGGATTCATGGATGTAGAAGGAGCAGGGGTCAAGACTAGCCTTGGCTACTTAGGGAATTCAAAGCCACATTCCCTCATGTTTATATCTGCCATCCTTTTAAAAGCAAGAAGTTTATTTCTTCCAAAATCCATTTCTGAGGTGACTCATTTTCCTCAAGGATGTCACAATGGGCTCAGCTAAGTGGCAGAGAACTGAACATTCAGATTATAAAGTTGATGCCTGTTATTCACAAGGTTGCTCCCGGTATGAGTTTTATCTACTAAAGCCGTGTAGCAAAGGATGCTCAGAATCAAGGAAAACACTACACCCAGCTTGATAAATATCAAAGAAATCAATAGCAAACACTCCCTATAACTGAAGTCTCTTGCATGGAAGCTGATTCTTTTTCTCATTATTGTCTAAGAATGTGGAAACCGGCCATTTTACCTGTAAAGTACCTCCCACCTTATTAATTAGATGCCAGTTGAATGACCCCCCAGGAACCAAATGAAGGAATTCTGCATGCCATTGACTCTCTAAGTGGTACCCCACATGATGGATGAGATCATACAAAAAAAAAATCACATATTTTGTACTGAAAAGAGCTATCATCCAAGAAAAACATAAACGCTAGTGTTTTCTACATGGTAGGTTGTACTTTTTTGGTGTTTGTCTTCTTATGTCCTTGTCCTTACTACTGAAATAGGGGAATATACTGACTTGCTTGCTACAGCTTTCCCTAACCTCTCAGAGGGCAGGCACGACCAATGGATGGCAGCAGCCTTGCTTCCTGCTGAACAAGACCATAGGAAAGCTAGTATCATCGCGGGTGTGTAAGTGAGGTCACAGCAGGCCAATCCTTAGACACCACTCCCCTGGCAAGAAACCAACATCAGTTCTTTGCTTTCTGTGGAGAAAGAATGTCTTGGCTCTTTTCTATATCCCAAATGTGATAAAGTCACATTGACTATAAGATAGCTCATTAGAATAAGTCCCACCAAGACCTCATATTTTGAGCGAATTTTAGATAAGGGGCTACAAATGTGATGTAAATATACTAAAATATTTAATTTTTATTTTGAGACAGTGTCTTGCTAAGTCACCCAGACAGGCCTTGACCTTGTGATCCACTGCCATTAGCCTCCAGAATAACCGGAATACAGGCCTTTGCCGCTAGACCAGACTAAAATATTTCACAATAAACATAAAGAGATCCCACAAAAATGAAGTCTAAATCAAACCAGGAATGAGAACTTGTGGCTATAAACACACTACATAACTTTAAGTACTGCACCTGAGAATGACTGATGTACAGATGTCAGTATCATATTTAATTATATGTAACATACATATACAATTCATATATATGTAAAATATATATTTCACATAAATTCAAGACATTGTGTATATCACACGAAATGTTTTCTAAAGCCATGGTACCCCATGTGCACACAGCCATGGTGAAAGGACCTGGGCTTCACATAAGGAATTGATCCCCCACCAGCACCTTAATGTCCTCTTAAGGGGATTCATAGTCTTTAGACTTTGGTTTCCCCGTCTGTTAAACATTAGCAGCCCAAAGATTATAGGGTATCCAGTTACATGTAAGTTGTCTGAAATTATTACTATGTGTTTTAAATTAACTTTTTTTTTTCAAAAAAGTAACATCATTGAAGTAGTAGAATCCAGTATATTATCCCTGATTTTTGTGCCTGACCTGGTGGCAAAGGTCTGTACTGTGGGTTGCTAGAGAGGCAGAAATGGGCCAATTGCAGGTTCAAATCTAGCCTGGGCAACTGAAGTCTCCATGGTTATCAGTAAATGTGGTTATAGACACATAAACCGAGAAGGAGACAAATCTTACGCCAGAGCCCCACACAGCAGCTGTTGACAGCTTTGGCACAGTGCAGTGGTGATAAACAGGGGCAGCACAGCTTGTCAATCAGACAGGGAACCCCAAGTGCTGCAAAAGCAGAATGAGAACTCCTTCCTTCCTTCCATCTATGCCTTTTCTGGCAGACTAGAATATTCCCTGTTACTTCTAACTCCCAACAAGTTAACTTTCCCAAAGAGGCGATTTTTTTTTTTTTTTTAAAGAAAGTGCCACATTTGCAATGGATGGGAATAACAAAGCAGCTACCTTCATCACGTGGGCCCTGGATGACTCCAGGGCAGCGACTCTAACCCAGACAAGGGGAGGTCATCTCAGAGAAGTGTACCAAGATGGGCGTTAAATAGTAACAGAAAAATGAAGAGTACAGGGAACAGAGAGAGGCAGGGGAGGAGGAGGAAGGAGGGAGGGAGGAAGAAGAAGGAGGAGGAAGGAGGAAGAAGGAAGGAGGAGGAGGAAGGAGGAAGAAGGAGGAGGAGGGAGGAGGAGGAGGAAGAGGAGACCTCGGTTGGGAGCACCCAGGCCATTTCATTCACACTGAGAAGTCTAATTTCCACACTATGATTCCTTGACTCTCTAGAGAGCCCTCAACATAGTAGGATCTGTGGAATGCTGATGAATTTTAGTTCTGTTATGAATCTTAAGTTTGAACTCAAAATTTCATCCAGGCAGCTTAATTCAAATGTTACTGCACATAAAAAAACGCAATGTGGCAAAATAAATGATTCAAGTAAATATTTAGTGTGTTCTCCCTTCTGCTACACATCTATCAGTGCTATGGTGAGTGACCATCAAGGCAGAATCACTGATAGGCCGGTATTATGTCTCCTAAGCCAAGCAACGGGAGGCAGGAACTCCACCAGACAGGAGTAGACTTCTCAAGCCCTTATAGTTCTTATGATGAAGGCTATGTCTAGCCACTCTGGTTCAACTGGGATACGGCAGGTTGAAGGGTTAAATAAATGACTAGGCATGTAAAGTTTTAAAATCTAGAAGGGTGGTCCTGCAGTGGAGTCCCACATGAAAATTATGGATACTAGCGCCGGCAACAGGTGTTCCTGTTCCACATCCTCTTTCCCATCGGAGTCTGACACCCACCATCAGCTTCCTTTGCACACATATGTGCATTCTGTCATTGAACTTCCCATTGGTCCTAACATTAGGTAACATTATTCTACCTATTTTACATTCAAGGCAATAGATGAAAAGAGGTGGCACATCCATGGCCTCTTCTTAGCTTATTGTATTCTTTGAAAGCGGCTGTAAAGACAAATATTCTGCTAATAGGAACAGTCCACCTTGATGTAACCATGTTCGTAATCTATACTCAAGGAATGTAAAACAAACATGTAACTATAAGGCACAGGCTTGAAGAAGGGGCTCGGTGGTATAACATGTGAATCTGATGTTTCAACCCTCCCACCAAAATACTGAAAAATAAAATAAATAAAATATGAGATATTATTTGTCTCCCTGGAGTAAAACAGGGATGGCCTGTCAGAGTTGTCTAAAATGCCAGCATGGTGCACATGCAAGTTCAAATTATTCTATCTGGCACCAAAAATCGCATTAGTAGCTTGATGGGATAAACTCCTCTGCCCACAAAAAATGCATTAAATGAGCTCAAGGAAAATTATTTCCCTTCCATTTTTTACCTCTCATCTGCCACCTTCTTGAATATAATGACTCAATTTTCCAGTCACACAGAATGTAGTAATAGAGCCTAACCGGGACATTATGAATGCTAAGACAGTGTTATCAATAAGCTTCCATGATATAGCAGGGCCTTTTTATACAGACACTGCTTCATTTTATTAACCATCTTGCTATCGTAAACATCCTGCCTGGTGAATATTTGCATTTTAAGTGATTTTCTATCAGAAAAAAAATTTTATCCCTTAAAAAAATTTATAGGTTGTAATCTGTATCCACAGAACCGGCAGAAATCCTGGCTGAGAACATAGCCACAGCTCTGTGTGCTCCTAAACCAACATCAATCACATATATTTTTCAAAAACACTGCTCACATGCAAAATTTGTACTTAAAATGCAATCCATCAATGCAGCCTATTACCAAACTACTATTCAGAACCAGACAGGATAAGTTTGAGCATAAACAAATCATGAACAAACAACTATATGAGCATGTCTATTTTAATAGACTATTTGAGGGCATGGAAATGCATTAAATACCTTTAACTACCAATTCTGCGTAGTTTGATACCCCAACACCGCCTTCTGTGCGAATCATGCAGCGGTACTTCCCAGCATCTCTCTTGGTCGTGTTGACAACATTAAATGAGGCTATGAATCTTCTGGAACTAGTCACTTTTATTTCCTTCAAAGGAGCATCTCGGACATCAATGCCCTGTGTCATGGAGGGTGGAAAGGACAGAGAGAAGCATTATCAGTGGTTATTATCAGGACAGTCAGACACCTGATGGCAATTATCAATGTCATGTTCATGCAAATTTTGGCTCATGTGTTTATCCCCATGGGCAGATGTTCTGTAAGAGACAGCAGTTCTGCCCCATCAACAAAACGAATATCAAGGGCTCCAAAATTAAGTGTGTAGAAATTTGTTGCTTGAACCTTTTAAATATATTAAGTTAAATGAACTGAGCGGTAGAGAAAAATGCTCAAAACCTTTTTTAAAACTTTGTTTTCTACAAATATTTGATTCTTCATAACACCTTATCCTATATTCTTATTCTTCATTAGATAACAAAATTAAGTCACCAACCATCCTATTACTAACCCAATCTCTCTATAAGCAACCAAACAATTACCAAGAATAGCATTAAAATCTACATCAGGTTTCATCACCATCCTCAGTGATGGACCCAGAGAACTAACCCAAGTTTTATGATGTTTTTCCCATGGACACAAAAGCCACGCAAGTGGATGCTTGATAAATATCTGCTTCTGAAATATATCGAGGGAGAAGTCTTTCTGTATGTTCTTTATGTCCATGAAGCTGCTTCTAGTGTGGGGAAGTGTTTTGTTTTGTTTTTTTAATTATTCTTATACATCAAGTCAACCTTTTATTTATACACTCTTAGAAATCCAACCATTGTAAGAGATGAAAGCAAAAAAGGACATGAGCAGATTCAGTTTTGTATATTTAATAAGTCCTGGGAAGCTGGCTGTCTTCTCTATTCAACATTAGTAGAAAACAAGAGACCAAGATCAAGGGTTATATACGATGCCAATGTCCATTATTCATCCAGAAGCCATGCTTGGGGTGCCAAGATGCCAAGATGCCAAGATTACTGAGTCATACAGCCAGGGTGGAAATGCTGGACCACAGGTACACATCCACCAATGATGGCCTGAGAGGTGAAGGGAAAGACCTGGTGGCTGGCAGAAGTCACCAAGGGGATTGGCTGCAGATCCTGTGGACTGGAGCGAGTGATAGGAGTATGGAGACTAAATCAGAAAATAACCAGACAAAGGATAATTGAGGGAAGACCTTTCGTGTCACACAAAACAGTAAGGGAAGCCCGAGATCGTTGGAAAGACTGGCCAATGTGACAATAACAAGAGGAAGTTGGATGTGGAGGTTATATTAAAGTGTTTTCAATATTAAAATGTTTTCATTTATAGAAATACAAGGCTACACAACAATGAAGTCCATCTGTGTGGTTCAGTGACTTATACCATACAAATAAACAAACAAAACAGCATTTCTCTATGATACTTTGGGACAGTCAGTCTTAAGCAAATGTGAGTTTTAGGGTTAAGCCTAACTTAGGTGCTGATCAAAATGTCATCATTAAAAGTGATGCACCTTTGCAGGGCTCCACGTTCCTTACCCAAAAAGAGAGGATTCAATTCACTCTCAGGGCTACCGTGAGACATGCAAGGACACTGACAGAATGATTGGCATCGCACATCCCCATCCGAGCTTTGACAAAATGAGCAGTGACCTCTAGGGAAAACAAAAGCTGGCAGCATGTCAAAACCCCACCTTTGTTTCTGACACACCGGCGACAACAGTGTGCAGAAGCCATGGGCTTGCGGATACTGAAGCACAGAAGGAAACAGACTCACTCACCCAGTCACTAGAAAACCACAGGGCCCCCACATGTTAGATGCTGCTGTAAAACACACAGGATGGAGGAACAGTGTTCCCAGAGCAGGCAGCTCCCCCAAAGACGGGGGCTGAGCTACAGGCTCTGTGCATCCTCCTAGGCAGCTCCCGCTTGGACAAGGAGAGAGCAGTCAGGAGTGCTGCATTAACAGAGTTCCTGCTACTTGGAAGGAAACGTCAGGAGTGGGGAAGAAGAGTTCCACCCATATTGTTTTTGGCATTGGCTGTAAAAGCAGTTTTGTTTATACTTTAAAAAGTAACACATCAAAATATAAACTCTCATATGTCTCAATTTGTGTGTTTTACTAAGTTTAAAACCTTGATCTAACCAATTGCACCAGATTATTAAAAAAACAAAAAACAAAAAAAGAATCCAACAAGATTTAGCATTAACAATACATCCAAGAGGAAGCAATCCTCTCTGAATTCCATACATTTAATCTCTGGTAAAACCTCATCATCAAATTTTGCTAACAGAAGAGACCTGATACTTACAGCCGTTAAAACTGGAATGTTTCATTTTACATACAGAAAAGAAAATCTAACTTTTTGTTCATGAGCGAAATAGCAAACCTTATTGAAAGACTAACTGTGCATTTGTTCTATTTATTAACAGTGTTGACAACTAAAGACCAGGGGATTGTTCACTGTTTTATTTACTTAAGTATATGCCCACAAGAATAAGCTTTTTTTTTTTTTAAAAAAAAAAAAAAAAAAACAACAACTTCTATTTATTTACTTTTCACTTCAATAACAGTCACACAATACTGTTCATAACAGAGGCACACTGATCCCTGACCACAGCCCAAGGCTGTACTGTGGGTGCCAAGGGAAGGCCCCTCCTTCTGCATTAATATTTATGCTGGAGAAGCAGCCCTTGGGAGGCACTCTTCCTTCATGCCATAGTGTTACTCTGTAAAACGCAGAGCTCCACAGTGTGAGCGACACACAAGGCCTATGTATCCACGAACTCTCAGGAAGGTTTCTTTAAACAAAGACTCCACATACTTAACCACACAGAAAAATTCAGCTCATTAATGAGGAATGATACAGGGTCAGGGAAGCCCAAATCAATGAGCATCATTTCTGTTCTAGATCCACACAGGCAACCAAACTACACACCTTACTCAGATAGGCAGCCTTCCTCTTGCTATTTGCAATGTACAGTACACTGTTGTGATTCCTTTTGACTAAAGGGTATTTCAGAGGTTCTGGGTGCCTCTCAGCTAACAATCTCACACAACTCATCAGGAATATGGTTGGCAGGATGGGGCCTCTGATAGCATCTATATTCCTGTCTGTAGTGGGAATTCACTCCACCCATAACTTTGGGCTATCTGGCCTGATAGAGGCGGTGTGTCTTATCTGCCCATATGACCACTTAAAAGGGAGGAGAAAGGGGCCATGCTCTCTTGGGTGGTGAAGACTGGATCAGGCAGTATGAAGCAGTCTGTGATCGGTGCCCAGCTTTCCAAGGACTCTGCAACTGGATATACCTTATCCTGTATCAGTAAGTCTGTTTTCCCCATAGAACCCCTTAATAAATTTATATATATACCCACCATTGAGGCTCTCATTACAAGTGGTAACCAATGTAGGGCAGATGCCATCCAGCTGCCCTTCTTCTCCCTGTCTCTCTCTTAGATTTCCCACCTGGCTCTTATCCTGCCTAACTATAGGCCAAAATAGCCTCTTTATTAACCAATGGGAGCTACACATATTCACAGCGTACAGAAAGATATCCCACAGCACCTGTCTCCAGAATGTAAGAATGTTTTCCATTCAATTGCTAAAAGAAGGTTTGCAGTTGTGATGAAAATAAGCGTTTAAGATACTGGAAGTCACACTGGATTATCTGGGTGTCCTACGGCCACCACAGGGTCCTCATGGGAGGAAAATGGAAAGTCGCATGTGGAGGAAGAGGACGTGAAGAGATTGGATGGGGATGATGCATCTTGAAGATGGCACAAGGGACTGGAGACAAGAAATGAAGGAAGAAGCTAAAAAAGGCAAGGCCTCTCGTCATCCCTAAGATTTCCAGAAGAAATCAACCTAGCTGTCACTGTACTTGAGGCCTTCTGATCTCCAGAAGTATAAGACAGTGAAGCCCAGGAGTTTCTGATATTTTGTTACAGTCACAATAAGAAAATAATAAAGCAACCACTGGGGTAATGAAATGCCACGTGGCTTTTGATGGTGCATAGACATTGTGACCCTAGTTTCCCAGAGCTGCACAGCAAACGTCTAAGGTCATGTTGAGTCTTTTGCAAAAGAAAGAGTTCAATCCAAAGCGATCACCGAAGCCAAAAACAGAAGTCCAAAGATGGGCACATCCTTTGCAACCTCAAAAACTTTGTAGAAAACAACATTAATCAAACAGACATTGTAGGCTTGGCATGAGGGCAGACATGGAGTGGTGGAATAGACTGGAGAGCCCAGACATGAACCCTCATAGGTATCACCCACTGACATGCATCAGCATTATTAGACCACTCAGTTTGGAAAGAATGGTGTTTGCAACAGTGGTAGTGGAGAAAGTGGAGAGCCACTGGCTTAAAAAAAAAAAAAAGAAAGAAAGAAAGAATTAGATTTTTAGATTTGTCACATACAAGAGTCTAAATCAAACACCTAACCTCAAGAGTTAATATCCTAGCCGGGCGTGGTGGCGCACGCCTTTAATCCCAGCACTTGGGAGGCAGAGGCAGGCGGATCTTTGTGAGTTCGAGGCCAGCCTGGGCTACCAAGTGAGCTCCAGGAAAGGCGCAAAGCTACACAGAGAAACCCTGTCTCGTAAAAACCAAAAAAAAAAAAAAAAAAAAAGAGTTAATATCCTCAATCAAGGAAAAACTTTAATGATCTGAGATCTGGCCCTAGTTTTCTGAACTGTGATGCCAAGATCATAGGAACCAAAAGAAAGTAATCAGGGCTGCATCAAAACCACAAACTTAGCCGGGCGGTGGTGGTGGTGGTGGCGGCGGCACACGCCTTTAATCCCAGCACTCGGGAGGCAGAGCCGGCGGATCTCTGTGAGTTCGAGGCCAGCCTGGACTACCAAGTGAGTCCCAGGAGAGGTGCAAAGCTACACAGAGAAACCCTGTCTTGAAAAACCAAAAAAAAAAAAAAACACAACCATAAACTTCAGTGCATAAAGAATCACTATTTGGATGAGGACACAGCTTGATGAACAAATCCATTGGTGTGCAAGCTTTAGAACTAGAGCTCAGGTCCCCAGAACAGATCCAGACAGGTACCAGGTGGGTGTGGCAGCCCACCTG